ACTTGAAAATCTCAATTATGCAAATTCGATAAGGGTCTACATATATGTTTGATTTAATTAGTTGATTAATCACCCTAACGTATACGTACTCAATAGTGTTAATAATGATTCGGTCCGATATTTCGTTTTTCTTCTATCTAACTATATTTATCTTACTCTCGTTACCTGAAATTTTACTGGCATTAGTAGTTTCGCAAAAAGAAAAATCAATAATTGATCCAACAGATACAGTATATCAAGCAACATATTCTAATAATTATTTAGACTTTTTAGTAATTGGTGATTGGGGATCAAGTGGTAAAGATAAGAATTTAAAATATGGATCACAGGCGAATGTTTCAAAAGTAATGGAAGATGTTACGAGAAGAAATAGTTCTCATTTCATTGTAAACGTTGGTGGTTCGTACAAGTGCGATTATATTTTGAATTTGAAAAGCTGGATTCGATTAATCACTACTAATATTTTTACAAAAAAAAAAAGACAACTTTTATGAAAGGTTTAAAGGTGATTACGAAGGAATAAAAAGTATTGACGATAATAAATGGCAGGAAGTTTGGCTAAACGTTTATAACGGACCTACATTATCGTCACTTACTTGGTATTCGGTTGCTGGAAATCATGATTGGTTTGTATCTTTAATATGACGATAAACTTCAAACATTACCGTTTGACTTTGATATTCATAAAAATCAGGTACAATAATGTAACAGCACAAATAGATTATAGTCGAACAAGGAATTCTCGATTTTTCCTTCCATCTCTGTTCTATGTTAGAACATCGACATTTGGTTCCGAATCAAAAACAACTGTAGCCTGGATCCATATCGATACAAATATGTTTTATTACGATTTTAGTTCAGAGTCAAATAAGCTAAATGCTAGAAAGAAAAACTTAAAAGAGAATTTATACGGTTTTGGTTGGGAAACTGACAACGCTATGGAAGAAAAGTTAAAATGGATCGAATCGAAGTTAATTGAATATCAACATTATAAATGGCTTTTTGTCGTTGGTAAGATATTAATTTATCCGGCAGCTTACTATGATCGTACCAATAGAATAACTCGAGTTATTTTGATGATGATTGCATCGTCATCAAAAATAACTAATTATTTGATAACGACGCAATTACCACCAAAAGAACTCGAATCATTCTGCTGGGTTCTGCCGTCGTAAGCTATCGGATGCTACTCAGCAAGATAATGAATTATTTTACAAATATCTATCATAATAATTAATACGGATCTGTATATTTAACACCAGGACACCATCCGGTGTTGGGTCAATGTTCTGAAATATTTCGCATGTCTCGCCTTCTACAATTATTTGAAACTTATAGAATAACCGCTTATTTTGCTGGTCATAATCATGTGCTTCAATATAAATCGCCTAGTAAAAAATCTCCAATCGCTCACTTCATCTCTGGAGCAGCTTCGACAACTGGTACGAAATGTAAAGGTGGTGATTGGGGTATTAAAACATTTGGGTTTTTACACGTGGTAATTAATGATAATGACTTGAAATTTGAATATATTGATGCCACCAAATCGATAAAACCCGGTGGTAAAGTTATATTTCAAGGAGCCTTAAATGGCAGAGAGATATGGTATCCAAAATATTGACATTTTAATCATTATTCTCATATTAATGTATTTACATCAGTTATACGTATTAAATAATTAGTGTTAAATAAGATATAAATTTAATTTTAAAAATATAACAATAAGAAATATTAAAGAAAATTTATTATGATTTTTTTTAAGATAAAAAATTAGGAATGTTATTAGCTTTACTAAAAGAGTTGGCTTTAGTCACAGACTTAAGCCAAATCTAACCAAAATTGATTTTGAGTTATAACTAGAGATGATAAAAAAATAATTTAAGTGATAGTTCGCAGCTAAAGGGTATAAATTTCATAGTAAAAATTGGCGGGCATTACTTATAAATTTTAATAATAGCTGGAATCCCAAAAGTTTTTCACTAGGGATACTATGAAAACTATTTTTTTTATTAAGTAAACTTTCTTTGACCTTCTAATTAAAGTTGTAGAAGAGGTCTTTGCGGTTCTAATGATGGTAAAATCGCTAACATTGACCCAGTACACCACGAGATATTAACGATTTACATTTCACGATCATATGAAATTTTCTTTGTAATCGGCAAAAAAAATTTCATATGATCGTGAAATGTAAATCGCTAATATCTCATGGTATACTGGGTCAATTTTAGCGATTTTACCATCATTAGAACCGCAAAACCCTCCTCTACAACTTTAATTAGAAGGTCAAAGAAAGTTTACTTAATAAAAAAGATGGTTTTCATAGTACCCCTAGTGAAAAACTTTTGGGATTCCAGCTACTATTAAAATTTATAAGTAATGCCTGCCAATTTTTACTATGATGCTTATATAATTCTTATACCCTTTAATGACGAACTACCTTTTAAATCTTTTTTTTTCAAACTGTTCTAGCATTACCAACCTAAAAAATTATGCATAACCAATCAAAATTTAGTAATTATTCAAAATTTTTAAATTTCTAAACTTTTAGCAAATGGTTTTTAATAATTTTTTTTTTTTGCTTCATTTAGGCAGATTATGTCAGTATCTTTATTTAATCAAGCACCACTTGTAGAAATGCAAAGTATTAAAATTACAGATCTGATATCCTGCAGTTATCTTATATAATCTAACCGATTACCTACACATATCTATAGACGACCATGCTGCATCAGAGAGATACAATTAATTAAGATAATACTCTACCAGGGGCTTGTTCAATCACCACTTTACAATAGAATATCACCCATCTGATAATATCTTCTTGTAGGAAAGTTAAAGAAAAAGAAAAATTTTTATAAATAAAACACAGAAAGATAAGGAAAATATAAAAAATAACAGATAAGAAATAAAAGGGTAAAGAGATAATGAGAAAAACTAAACTAAATATAGGATTTTTCATCTACACTAGACAGTCACAATTATAAGCCTGTGTCAGGCTTTGTAAAAATTATATATTACTATCTAAACTATTCTCTATATTAATTTATATAACTAATATATCTAAACAAAAATCTTTAAAGTTGGGGTTTCTTTGATATTTGGTATCATAGAGAAATCAAAAATAAAAAAAAAGGATATTTTATAGAATAGATAGGCAATATAAGAAATAAGTTTTACTAATGATTTGTAATCATTAATTTTTTAATATCAGAATTACAGAGTTTGCAGAGTTTGCCCACATATTTTATAGAATATCCAAAAAAATCATATTATTTGGCTCAAAATATTGTTTGTACAGATTGCCATATTCAAGGTATGTATTTTACAGATTTACTATTTTATATATATCTATGTATTTGTTTTGACAGGTAAAAAAAGTAAACAATACTATCTGATTTGATAAGTAAACAATATATTGATCTTTTGGAATAGATAAGTTAAATTATCTACTTTTTACAAAATTTTCTCTAAAAAAAAAGTATGAAGTCAAAAAAGATGTGTGAGGTTCTTCTGTAAGTTTTATAGTCATATAGTTTATTTTTTATGATTATCTTATCTTAGCAAGAGTCTTTCTACTATTTGCTTCTAGAATAAACTTTCTAGTTTGGATATTAAATATTCTAGAAAGTTCATCAAAAAACAAAAACTTGATTTTAAGAAAAACTAGTTAAATTATACCTACTTCTTGATGTTTTATATCTTTTAAGCTTTGTTGACAATAATCTGATCAAAGATAAGTTTAGTTCTCAGAATAAATCTTCTAGTTTAGATATCAAATATCTTGAGGAGTTTACTAAAATATTGAGCTTAACTTCAAGAGAAACTGCCCAAGTTATGCCTACTCCTTGTTGTTTCATATCTTTAGACTTCATTAATAACTGTTTACTCAAAAACAGAACTAAAAATAGTATATATTTTAGAACTTTCTATAGCATTTTTTTGTAGTTTAGTGTTTTGTTATATTGTCCAAAAGATCATTAGAAAGAGTTGAAATCCTAATTTGACCAAATTTGATAAAATTTTTTTATTTTAATCCTATATTTTGCAAAAAAATTTATTGAATTTGGTTTAATAATAAAACTTTTATTTTCAAATATTATTAAAAAAATTTTATTTAAATATTTTAAATTTAAAAAAATAAATTATAAATATAGGAAATTATTTTTTGTGCAGGGTACACATCGGTACACTCTATAGCAAACTATAGCAAATTAATATAAAGGAGGGTTAAATTAAAGTTAGAGGTAAAAACTTGACAGGAGTATTTTTTATTAGTTATACAACAGGGTTACCCTAGTAAAATTTTGAGATATCATTAAAGAGTGTACCAAGTGCAGAGTACATCAAAAATAAATGTTCTATAAGTATATTTACAATAAATTTACAAATAAATTTGTCTAAAAAACTTATAAATTAAGAGGTAAAAAAATTTTAGTATCAAAAATTACTATATTCTAATTAGAATAT